GCAAAAGGCGAATTTAGTCGATTCGCCGGTTGGCTCGCGACGTAAAATGTCCCAGTCGCCTCAGATGACCCGAGAGGCTGACTGGGATTAGCCCATTCGCAGAGACGACTACAGGAATAATTTCGGTTGACACACCACCCCACATGTCGGTCACCTCGTGAGCCAGGTCCAGATATTTTGTTTGTTTATCTGTTTCGGCTTTCACGAGGTTCTCGTCATACGGAATGGTAATGTCGATCAAAAATATCCTTGATTGTGCCCGGTCCAACAGCACAATATCAGGCTTATTCGCAAGAATAGTCCTGTCTGTGATGATGGCCCGGTCCCAGTAGAGCCTGGATCGGTCATTTTCGAGCACGGCTTCCGGCAAGTACTTGTAATACGGCAATTTCCGGTCCACGAGGCCGTATTTCAGAGCGAGCTCTTGGTGTAGAATTCTGGCTACTAGGTTGTGCCTGTGCAAGTACTCAGAGTTAGAAAGCGCCAAACAACCGGAGATGACATCCCGGGATGGCGACAAGCTCGACAAACGTCGACAGTGCCATCCTTTATTATTATTATTATTATTATTCCTCGCGACAGCAGAAGGACCACTCTTGCACACTGCGCCAGCGTTAAAAAGTGGCGTAATGCTGTAGCTATGTGAAATGTTTTACTGGTAACTATTAGTTAATCCTTAAGAGTGACAACAACGCACGGAATTTTGATGCTTAGTTGAATTCATTAAGCACTGAGTGTGTACTTTAATTGTACACAAGCATACATTATATACATAGAGTATTACTTTTTTAATTTTATTAAAAGGATAGTAAAAGTAAAGTAAAGTTACAGCCTATATACGTCCCACTGATGGGCACAGGCCTCCCCTCATTTCTGAGAGGGTTTTAGGGCCAGAAAGTGTCCGCCGCGCTGCCACAATGCGTGTTGGCGAACTTCATATGTCTTGGAAATATTTTTTTTCTTATTCCTCAGACATGCAGGTTTCCTCACGATGTTTTTCTTCACCGCCGAGCACGTAGTAAATCAGCACTTAAAATTGTAACTAACAATTTCATTGGTGCCGGCGGGAATCGACCCGGGTTACTCGCGTTCTGTTATATTAAAAATTAAAAGGATAGTAGTCGAACATAACGTAGTACAATCAAATATATCTACATCTATTGTCGGTTAAAAATCTAAAGAACGGAATGCTTAATTGCCAGTTAAAAGAGTCCCTGGTTCTCTACATTTATCATACAAAATACAGCAGTACAATTCTTTCATTTCATGGTTGTATTCTGAGAAAACTTAGTTTTTTCCCTTAAGAGCCCACCCTTTCGTGCCAGAACCACAATATAACATGTCATATATCTCTACTACATAGAGTCGTAGCACATCGAGGCATTAGCTCAAATGGTGTTCTTACAATATTCACTTAATAACTATATTGGTATAAATGAATAAAATATGTGTTATGTGCAATAAAAGTATTGCAGAAATTTTAAAATAAAGTTAACGAACTTTGGAGAGAATTTAACTTTTCTTTATGCACTTTTTGTATACGCGGAAATACTTAATCCAACTTCATTGGTGAATGTCGAAATCTTCCCTAGAATTTCCTCTTACAAGGAATCTTTGAAAATATCTTTATTTATCAACTACGGTTATAAAGTTTTTGCATCTTTTTGATAACTTCATTAAAAGCTTCCTGATTCAGAAATTTTACAAGAGTTTATTGTATCTAATAGCAGTCATGATCTTTTTTATTTTAACTATTACAATAAGTCCAATCAAACAAGGTCTGAAATCAAAATTTTGACACTCAAATTTGCATTTTGATATAATTTATTATTTATCATTAATGATACAAAAACAATGTGTAAAAGTTTTCGCGTGAACCCCCGGTAAGAGTTGAAAAAAATGTGAAAATAAATTTTTTTCGCAATTACTCGAAAACTATAAATATAAAACAAAAAAGGTCTTATAATCCTTGATATTTTCGTCCTCACGACGATGCACCTCCACCAACGTTAAGTGCACTATACTTCCCTTGCCCGTGGCTCCTTTTTTAACTATCCTAATTTGAGTAAGCAGTGCAACACTTGACACATTTGTAATCACAGTTCAATTAAGAAGTGAGCTTCGGCTATCCGCTCGACGAAAATTTAGTTGCTACGTAACTTTATTGTTAAGATACGTACATTACAGTCGTCTTAGTTTTCTTGGTTAACAGTAATAAATAATAAAATAACGTTTATTTCTTTACCACAAACAAAGTTACATTTATGGATGGATTTATGGATTGCCCTTAATTTACACTTACTTTACTAATACTTAATTTACACACGTAATCAATAGTATTCTTCCAGCTCATCCTGTTATCTATAATCAGTCCTAAGTATGTGTGATACTTAACAGGAGGGATTTTTTCGCAGGACAATTTATTATATTGTGCAGATAAAGATGATTATGAGCAATAATGCTTACTGGTATAATATTCTTGATATGATTAGAATGAATGTGAAGTACCTTAGTTTTTTGTATATTTATTACAAGTCCTAGATCGTAAGTCTACATATCAAAAAAAAATCATCTTGTAATTTTTGCATGGCCATATACACATTTTTATCTTCTGACAAAAGGCACGTATCATCTGCATATTGGTATATACTACATTTTTTAATGATAGTTCCTAATTCATTTACGTATGTTAAGTAATGAAGTGGCCCTGTAACTGAGCCTTGTGCCTTACCTGTAGTCATAGGCATTTTAATACTTAAATTATTTTCTATCGTTACTTGGAAATATCGATTGCTAACATAATCTTTACACCATCTTCAGAAACGTCCTCTAACACCAGAGTTTTCGAGTTTTCTTATAAGAATGTTATGTTTCAAGGTATTGAAGGCTTTACTAAAATCGATGAATGCAATTAATACATGTTTTTCTCATCTAAGCATTTGTTTACTTCGTCTGTAAAGTTTGACAGTAACTGTGTAGTAGATTTCTTAGGCTGAAATCCGTATTGAGATGCTGTAATAGTTTTATGTTTTTGATAAAAGTTGTGAAGCTGGTTGGAAATGAATTTTTCTATAATTTTGTCAATTGTTGGAAGTATAGTAATAGGCCTGTAATTACTGTAATCGTCATGACGTCCACTTTTGTAAATAGGCCGTACAAAACCTAGCTTTAAATCTGTAGAATAAATACCTTTTTCTATACTACTATTAATTAACTTGACAATTACTTTAGCAATTTTTTCTGATATGACTTTTATGTCAATTGTACGAATTCCATCAGCACCTGGTGCCTTTTTTGTGTTAAGTGTCTTTATTATATTATTATATTTGCTTTATATTTGCTTTATGCAACCGTTACCGTCGGTGTTGTGTACAAACAATCTGATAGCATTTTAATGGTACATTTTGGTATTATATTTTTTAAGTTACTATCGAACTCAGTAGCAAAATTATCAGCAATCGTTTTACTATTTTGACTTTTGAAGTTAAATGCTTTATTTAACGATTCATCTAGTGTTTCGGTAACTTTGCCACAAAGTTTGTTTACAATTTTCTAAGTGTATCTTGGATTAGACATATTGTTATTGATTTTTTGATAATAGTAATTATTTCTAGTTTTTTCAATAAATTTAATTATTTATTTCTATATTTATTATATTCTAGTCTTAGAAGTTTATTATTTGAGTCATTTTCCATTTAGAAAACAAATTATCTCTAATTTTACACATATTTATGATGTCTTCATTTATCCAATTCTCTTTATTTCGTTTACTACTTTGTTTTTTTTTATTAATTGACATTTACTGTAGCATTCCATAAAATTAGTTTCTATAAAATTGTTTATATTAATAGGACATTAAATATCATTAGCCGGTGACCATGTATTTCATTCAGCATTCTATGAAGTTTTTTGTTGTCATATAAAATAATATTTTCAAATTCATCCCGTGTGTACGAAACATGTAAAACGCATGTTAGCACGGTCATGCGATGATCGGCTAATACAGTACCAATAGCGTCCGAGTACAGGTCTAACGTACGCGATCGCACAAAGATATGATCTATACAACTTTTAGTTATTTTGTCTTTTCTTTTTTCTATTCTAGTGTAATCCGTTACCGCACATGTTAGACCGCACTCGGCCATTTTACTACGATAATATTCTTGCATAGGTGTAACATCTGTAATGTTGATATTCATATCACCCAATATGATTAAATTAGGTTTTTTAGCGAAATCATCGTTTAATATGTGACACAACTCCTCAATAAACAAGTGTTTGTTTTCATTTGGTGGTCTATATATTATACAAAGATGGAATGTTTGCAAATTATTTTGGGTGGTGATTTTGCTTATGAGTGATTCAAAGTGTAAAGTTTTGATATTTATGATTTCAAACTTATGGTTCTTACGTACATAAATAATTATCCCATCCCCTTTCTTTTAGCTCTTAAGATACTATGCATTGAATAGCCATTGATATGAAACATAAATAGTCGGTTATTAGATATGTTGGCTTCTGTTATGGCAATGCAGTCTAAATTAATTTTACTAGAATTTATACATTCCTTTAGCATTGCAAAGTTTTTTATGATAGATCTTAGGTTGATATGAATAAAAGTGAAACTTTAACTTTAGGTATAAGTGTGTAGAAATCATTTAAATTAATACAATCGTTTATTACTGAGACGTTTGTGAGAGAATCCATTATGTTTGTTGTTATTATAACTTATAAGAATAATTATGCTGCGTTTTACCCTTAACTAACTACTTCCGTTTCTTCTGTATTTTGGGACTAATTAGTGGTTTTTTTTGCTAGTTTTTGGATGTCTTTGATGAAGCTAATGGTTATGATCTTGTCTTTGTCTCCTTTTCGCGCAAAAATGTTTTCATTTTTAAACCATATGTACTTGTATCCGGAACGTAATTGTGTTTTTGCATTCCACAAGATTATCTTATTTGCCTTTGGGAGTGCGCGTCTTAACATAATTCTACCTTTACCCTTATCATATATCATTGGCACATTTGGAAGAATATCATTAATTTTTAACATCTTCATTTTTGCGGCTTGGAACCATTTCTCACTCTCTGTTTCATCACTTAGTTCAAGTAGCAGATATCCATCCTTTCCTTTTCTTCCTTCTATCTGTTTTATGCTTTTAACTGAATTTGCATCCATATCTAATTTGGATGCTAATATTTTAGTTACTTGATGATGATTAATGTTATCTATACCCGATATACCAGTTAGTTCAATTTTGTTACTATATTGTTTTTGTTTCAATTCTCCTATTTTTTGTTCTAAAACACTTATTCTTATTTCCAAATTATTATCTTTGTTTTTTAATGTTATATTATTAGTTTCTAATTCTATAATTTTAGAACATCCACATTGTCAAGCACCTCATCTAGTTTGTCGTGCAAGTAACTTATAGAAGATTCGATTGGCTCCAATTCGCGCTTTATAGTGACTCCAACTTCCTTTGAAATATCCTTCAGTAACTTTTTAATGTCTATTGATGGCTTAGAATACGAATTATCTTGAGCTTGTTCATTTTGTTTTACTTTTTCTTCTTCTTCTAGGATAATATACGATTTTCTTATCGGTGTGAAACGTTGTACGAGTATTAGTACGTTGTAGAGTTGTACGTTGTACGAGTATCGAAACTGTATCAAACGCCTTTGTAAGGTCAAGAAACAATGCAATACATTTTTGACGTATGTCTAGTTTCCTGACTACAAAATCAATAAGGCTCTCGTTAGCAGCTTAGAAATGCAATGAATATTCATGTTTTTAATTAATTTTCTTTATTTGAATATATTTCATATTAAATTATTGTAGATAGGTATATTATTGATGCTATAATATGTATAGTTTTGTTGTTACCAAATAACTTCCATTATTTTAGTGTAGATAAACATTATTTAAAAGATTTGAGGAGTCAAGAGGAGCAAATTTGTCAATGGATCAATATGTCAGCGATATCTTTTTATTATTACAAAGAACGCAATCAACACTGTTGATTAAGTATGTTCGAATATATTATGTATCAACTGAAAAACCAAGAGGTGCTCACTATGCATTTTCTACAATATGCTCTTGTCTCGGTGAGATTTTATCATGAAGATAGAGACCATCTTATGAAGCTCTAGTTAAGACAACAATTACAAACCGTGACATTGAGGCGTGAAATCAGGACCATGATACAGGATATTCTTGGTGATTCTTCAAATATAGAAGCACCTGTTAATTCTGCGTCCGGTATGTGGAAAGTATAATACCAGTATCCGTCAAAATCTCTATGAATGACGAATGACCGTTGCACGAAATGCAGGACCGCAATTCGTAACCCCATATGTTGACATATATGTAATAACTGTGAGTAATAATGTTTGTCTTAATATTAGTTCCTGCATAATATAACTTTCATGCTATGTAACAAGTTCCTATTTTTATTGAATTATTTTAGGGACATTTACGTTTTTCAATGCGTAGTCCGTTCGACGAACGTTTAGTTACAGTGTTACTATAAAATAAGTTTTGTTATCTAGGGTTGAAATGTGTAGAGCTTAAAATTTTACATAAAAAAGGTGTTATGATTTTTATCTTCCGGCCAAAATTAACCAGTTTTAAGTTTAAGAGATGAACTTAAATTAAAAAAAAAAACGTAAATAGCAGATAAGTAAGCGACTTTTTTTAAATTGCTTAAAAATTCAAAAATTTTTTGATTTGTTGAACAGTTTTGATACCTTTGACATTATTTTTCTACCCTTGCCGGGGGTTGCAGCCACGAAAACCTTTACACATTGTTTTTATATCATTAAACTACATTATACCAATAATACAAAATTAAGGGCAAAAATTTTGATTTCAGACTTATTTGACTGGATACTACAATCCCGTGCTTGACCACTATCCCGTTTGATAAGTAGTGATGTATCCGAATGTGGCAAAATGCAGTGCTGCAAAACTTATCAAATGCTGTGAAATGTTTTCATTTCATGTTCGATAAAAAAGTAATGAGTAAAGAATAAGTGTCATGTAAAATATAAAAAGTGTAAGTATTGTTTACTGTACTATGTGTACGAACAATAATAGAAATTTCGTATACAATTAATAAACATTATTAGTAGTAAATGCAATAATATTGTAATTTAATAATATAACACTTTATTCCAAATTTCGAAAACAAGCGTTTGTAACAAATAAGCAACACCTACTACCTTTCTGAATTACACACCTCCAATGCAAAGCGGAGAAATTGAGCTTTAGTGTATAGTTGTCACGTGACTCGCACAAATTTTGTCAGGTATATTATTTGTATACCTCACTAACACGTGATAAATACACATTAATATTAAAAGGAACTAAGGAATAAACCTGATTTTGTATTGAGTTTTTTTGATTTTATGACACAGTAGCAACCTGCCCCGGCCATGATCATTTATTTTACCTCCCTTTAAAAATATTAAAGTTTTTCAAATTTAATAAAGCTTTAATAAGGTCCCTACCGAAATCTGTTCATAAAGTTTAATCGTTTCAGCTAAGAAAATTGGCTCGAACAGATATACTGGAGACAATTTTTAATAATTGTATTTTCATACAAAATAATACAATGTTGAAAATAATATTTTGTTCTATATTTTTATTAAATTGATTATGTTGTCGATCGACCGTATTCTGTCAGAATATTACCTGAATAATTTTATTCATAAACTAGCAATCCACCCCACTTCGCATGATTGATTTCTGAATTTCGACAACAGAGACACCTACCAAAACCTTTTGTGAATCTAAACCATCCAGTATATTATATTATATGTATAGTATCCACTCAAAGGTACACAAAACAATTTCATCAAAATAGTTCAAGCCGTTTTCGACTTTTGGCAAGACTAACGGACAGCAGTTGGTTTTAATACATAGAGATTTATAGATTTAATATGGGAATAATGATTCTTGACAAAGTTGATATAGCAGTTCCTAAAAAAAGGGTTTATGTGATAGATAGCTCCAAACAACTAAAAATATTGTCCGAAGTTTCTACAATGCCATTTTATTTATCGAGCAACGTGATTTACGAACAAAGTGTACACATTCATCATAAATGTTTGTCACCTTGCCAGAGAAATATTGATAACAAATTCTAAAATGGAAACTCTGCCCCTAAAGAATAATATTTAAGATTTGTTTACTAAGTCTAAGATCATCTTAATGGTATTTATTTACAACTTTCACTGTCTTCATATTCTATTTTATTAGCCAATTTCCACTCTGCTTCGGAGCGTGAAGCAGATGCGGATGCGATACAGGCTATCGATAGGGCAGCCTGTGGGACGCAACCAGGAACAGAACCGAAATTTTCAGGTTTCACGCACAACCCAGGTTGGATTCTGGTAACGTGCCTGAATAAGGCAAGCCAGGACTGGTTGTTGGGTGAAGTCGGAAAACAAAAACCCTTGCTGAAGGCAGAGCTGTAAATAATACTAGAGAGCGATCTTCCTAAACCTCAGCTGGGCATCATTTATATGCCCCGCAGCGAAGCTGACTCTCTCTAGAGGATGCAGCTGTACTATTCAGGGCATAAAACGAAGGACTCTGACTGGACACCATTGTCTTAAAAAGGACATCCTTGAGTTGTTTAGGCCAAGAATGGGCAAAGCAAGTAAAGGATGTTGCGGTTTCTTTTCCTAATAGAAGAAATACCTCTGCACATCCTAACTATTTGTGGACCCTTAATGCGCACACGTAACACTCATTTAGGAAACTATGTACTGCACTCAGCAGAAGTGAAATTGCTCACAGCTTAGCAACTCCTTCTATTCATTGAAGACATAGGGCTTAGCAGTGAACTATAGTCATAGCAGCAATCACAATTGATCTTTATGGTCGCAGTGATACTGGTCTTTCAATCTAGACCTACATACCTGCTCGCACACAAAATAAACTACCAGGTCTAAATGGGAATATAAACCATCAAGGGACCCATTCCAAAACGCACAAATTTTTATCATAATTAGTTGGATGGTTTCAAATTCTATAACGGACATAGAATGTTTTTTGTATTTTATATAAATAGATTTACAGTCCTGCGTAAATAGTATTAAACTTAAAAACTAATTTTAAACATGGCACTGTTTTCCTCAGGCTACTAGCACTACTGAAATGAATATTGGTTAACTTTAAATGACCAAAATGATTTTATTCAGATATGTGGAAACCTGCAGATATCTATCGTAGGTGACGAGATGTTATTCCCTTTATAAATCCCCGTTATAAATTCTAAAGGTCAAATGGGGATTAACGCTTACTGTTATATTTTATAAGAAATGCTCTCCCGCAACTTATAAGCAGTAAGGCCCATGGCGAAAAGAAAACTTTAGAATCTCTTAAATTCCGTCCCCTATAGTTGCTCTATTTCGATGATATCCCGGAAGTCAGTCTGGGCGTGATTAGAATTGATCTTGAGCACTTTAAATACGTCAAGGCTTTGTTAAAGTAAAAGTAAAATTACAGATTATATATGTCTTACTGCTGGGCACAGGCCTCCCCTCATTTCTGAGAGGATTCGTGGAGTGTCCAACGCGCTGCCCCAATGCGTGTTGGCGAACTTCATGTGCTATCGAAATATATTTTTGTTCTTATTTCTCAGATATGCAGGTTTACGTAAGGAAGGTGTTTTCCTTCACCACCGAGCACGTAATAAATCAGTACATAAAATTGCAATTAATTTCATTGGTGCCATCGGGGAAGTTCCAAGTAGCTCGCGTACTGTGAAATTTACAGCAAGCGCTAAATATATGAGCCACGGCTCTCACACACGTACGCTATAAGTCCGCGGACGATGATGAAATTACAGCTGAACTGAAAGTGAATAGAAAACCAATCCTTGAAATCCTTCGGAAGCTCTTTGATTCCGTGCTCCAGGATGAAACTGCTCCAGAGACGTGGATTAGAATTGCGGTAGTTTTGATAAAATGACAATGCTCTATTGAAGAACTACAGACCAGACTCGACAAATTCCAGCCTCCCGAGCAAGCCAGTTTCCTAAAAAGGTTTTGGTATCATAGACGACATACATTCCCTTCGGCCAATTGTACAAAAGACTGAATGAGTTTAATCTGCCACTTTGTCTTATGTATGTGGACTATTCGAAAAGCTTCGATGCGGTCTAAATT